CACAAAGGGTCACAATTTCCAATACTTATATCTGTCATAACTATCTATATCTAAATATATTGTTAAACCAGAAATCGGAGACAAATATGTAATATTTCAAAATTTATGATTTCGCATAAAATTGCATATAAATATTCGACTTCCTTAAAATTTTGCACATACCAATATTTTTATCTGTATTAGAATTGAATACTTGTATGAAAATTGAATACTTTGGTCCCCTATATCTGTTACACATTTTCCAAAAATTTGCACATATCTCATATTAAGTATAGGAAGTGGTCGATATAGTCCAAATCTAGCACGTTGTAATATTTTTATCAGTCTTAGGAACAGATACGAATTGACCAACTGCTCCGGAACCTCCCTCATAAAGGGTCAACAGTTTGAATAATCATAACTCAAGGCTGGGGCTATAAGTCTGTCGGCAAAACCGACTGATACTATTATTTTACTTTTTAATTATTAATATTGTTCAATGGAATATTATGAAAAATTGGTGAATGAGATGAGATAACTTTATATAATTCTGTCATCCTATAAAAAAGAATCAATTCAACTTCCAAACATAAATCTGAAGTTAGACGTGCTTTAGAATAGCAATAATAATTGCTTGGCCCCAGAACTTGCAAGAATCTACTAATTTAATAAAAAATCGATATCATAAAGAAAAAATCGGTTATCGTAGCAAAAATTTGTATTTTCTTGCAGTTCTCGAACAGAGCAAATGTACCTGGTCTATACATATGAACTCTTTAAATTGTATGTTTGTCGCCAATTTATTTACCTTCCATGTTTATCGCAAATTTATTGTACATTGACTGTGAATGTGTTCAGGGAAGTTACTGTAATAAGTATAAAGGTTCAGAATTTTTTAATTTCCACAAAATTTGCTCAATTTCATATTTTGTAGTTTTATATTCCATTATATGTTAGGATTCATTAAGGATAGTATTGTCCTTGGATTACTTAGGCGATTTCTAATAGTAGTAGTAGATTCCATGTTCGAATTTTGGCTAGTCATATCTTCAACTGTCCCTTTGGCGCAGAGGATAGCGCGTTGGACTTCTAATCCAAAGGTCGCGGGTTCGATCCCCGCAAGGGATGTATGCTAAATTTATACATCAGTGTAAAAAAATCAATTTACCGTATAAATAATAGAAGAAAATTATATGAAAATATATATCAATTTGTTGAGGGTCGTTTTGCTTACTTATTTGTAAATATAGTAATTAAGGTCATTGATCTCAAAATATGCGGAGATATAAAATCCTTAGTAGAAACCATCACAATACATACAGTGGCAGACAAAACTTTGTGCACATCTCAGCCACATTGATAGGGTGCGTGGGTTATGACCGCAAATAATATTTTGTAGGCATAAATCATTAATTAAATTTAAATATGGCGTACATTTTGAAGTCTCTTTAACTATTTTCTATCTATCATCTTTTAACCATTTTTGAGAGTAAGAGAGAGCATTAAATTTCTTAGATTTTACATCTCGAACCGGTACTCATCGGGAAAAGGAAACATGGAATGATGGTTTTATTGCAAAACTGTCAAAAATCATAGTATAATAATACAAGAACGGAGCACGGTAAATTTAAGGATTTAAAGTCATTTCAAATTTCACTAAATAATCTAATTTAAAAGAATAAAAAACAGGTTCCCATCTCTAATTTCCAGGCATACGATGGATTTATAAATATATATCTTGACAATGAGATGTTGTCAAATGAATAATTTTGAAAAAAAATGTAAACATATGATTGCATGACATGACCTTCTTAATTCTACCATGGAACGGAGTAACATTGTGTCAACATGATTATGCTTACCTAACGACAATAAAGTACTTTGGGAACAATGAATAAAACCATGTTTATTGTGATACAATAAAAAAAGGTAGAATTTTGTATGTCTGTGTTTTGTTTTAGATCAAAATAATTTAAAAATAAAAACGCTGCTTAACTTCGAATGAAAATATCGATTTTGTTTCAAATTGATTTGAGAAATAAGCAAAACTAACATAACTTCATGCTTAAGGAGACAATTTGACGCAATACGACTTTACTACAGAGTTGCATTTTTCATATGCGCTTCGACATTAAGCTACCATTTTGATTGTACCTTCGATAAATTCTTATCCATTAATTTTTTTAAAGGTTCTGAGTCGCTGTTTGATTTATCACAATGGAAACGACCGTCCCTTTGGCGCAGAGGATAGCGCGTTGGACTTCTAATCCAAAGGTCGCGGGTTCGATCCCCGCAAGGGATGTAAGCTTAATTTATACTACATTCGATCTAAGCGGTATAAATTACAAATTATTTGAAATTAATTTGAAAAATATACAAACAATTTTGAGTCGTTTTGTTTAAATTGAGTACCTATTTGTTTGTTAATAATAAAGCGTTATTAACCTAAAAATATCCTCTTAAGCCATCGAAACCTTATACAACTACACAAACTTCGGGAACCAAATTTTCTATATTTTAAGCAAACGTCAATTTTTATATTTTTGGAACCATTCCATTAAATAGCCAGAATGAGTATCCCTTGCTTTCCAAACTCAACATTTTTCAATTAGAGAGAATATATACTTTAACATATGGTCCTGCTTTAGACAAGATGCGTTTATTTGCAGAAATTTTTAACGTTTCGTTTTAATCTTTCTTCTTACTTTTATTTAGAAATTTAAGACATTTCCCATTTTCACCACTTCCTTTTTAGTAATTGTTATTAGAATTCGGTAGAAATAAAAACAAATTGCCTGAATTCCTCTTACATATTTTCACCTCCTACTTGCCTAATGTAAATTCGGTCATAGAATAAAATCTCATATTACATCAAAAATTTCAAATATATTTTAAAATAATATTTGTTATGAATATTCCGAGTCGCTGTTTAATATTTCACAATACCAATGACTGTCCCTTTGGCGCAGAGGATAGCGCGTTGGACTTCTAATCCAAAGGTCGCGGGTTCGATCCCCGCAAGGGATGACACAAAATTGTGTTTTTTACTAATCAATATGCAATGGATTTTAAAAATTATAAGACAATAAGAATAAGTGGTGAAAATTACAAAGAAAATATATAAATAAATCCATTGCCAACCCAATAAATCTCCAAAGGTTATGCGACCTTAATAATCGGGCACATTAAGAACTTTGTTTATCTGATTCCACTTAACCCATTTCCACAACATACCTAATACTTAGATCTTATGTAAAAGACTTTGAAAATACAGAGAAGTATATATATTTTTACTAAATTTTATAAATAATACCATGGTAGAATTGAGAAGGTAAAGTTATGCAACCATATGTTTACATTTTTTTTTTAATGATTTATTTGACAACATCTCATTGTCAAAATTTATTCAAATGTATAAACCCATTGTATACACAGAAATCAGAGATGGGAACCTTTTTTATTCAGTGAAATTTGACTAGTTAACTTTCAGAAAATGCAGAGGTGGATAGTTTTATATAAAATGACTTTACCTTCTGTTTTTTTTTTTTTTTTTTTTTTTTTTTTTTGATTGATGAAACTTAGAGCAAAGTACACATAGAAAAATTTTGTCTGCAAATAATTTCTGATTGAAGTTTTAAATTTCTTTAAGTAAAAGCCAGTAGTTCAAACATTTTTAGTCAAACAATGACAATTAATTACGTTTACATAAATAAAAGTTTTTATTCGAGTAAACCATGACAATTGACCATGGTAGAAGAATACAGGTAGATGCATCGGCGCTTGCGAATATTGTATGTGAAAATTAAAAAAAGAAAATGTAAAAATAAGTATATTTTTACACGTTTTTTATGCGGAGCCAATCGGAGGTTATCATGATATTCATTTTTCAAAAGATTTTATAAATTTAAATAATTTTCAATTCCAAAATTAGTTTGAGAGTTCATTGTTCCAGCATCTGTGTCGATGCGACTATCTGTATTCTTTTACCATGCAATTGTCCAATCACAATAATGTTGACAATTAAAACATTCATTAATTTTATGGGACTAGGTATTCATAACCAATAATCGCTTAAAAGAGGTGTATATAAACGCTGTATAAGGAAACAAAAGAGGTTTACCGAATATAAATATACTCGCATCGCCACAGCTGCTGTATCAATGAACTGTCAAACCAATTGCGAAAGTAAAAATTTTTAATGAAAAATTATTCAAATTTGTAAAAATTGTTTAAAAATGTATATCATAACAACCTGCGATTAGCGTCGTATAAAAAAACATATACAAATCTACTTATTTTTTAAATAATTTAAAAATTTTGTATTCTGTATTCTTCTATCTTGACTTGTACCCAATATTATGACTTCTACTCCTGTGCTCATTTATCCTTCCGACGAACTATTTACGTGTGAATGAAGACATACTTTATACTTTAAATATAAATGAGAGAAATAAATACTGAAAAATTGTTATGATAATTCACACAGAAAGATTAAAACACATTTGATTTTTTTCTACAAAAATTCTAGTGGCTATTTAGAACATTTGAATGGTAATTGGTAACCAAACAATGCAACAACCCTGTGATGAAATCATATTTCGCACGTTATGAGTCACCCTGTTTTGACGGTAATCAAAGCTCGGGTATCAAATGTAGCATTGGTGAAACACCCAACAACTGTCCCTTTGGCGCAGAGGATAGCGCGTTGGACTTCTAATCCAAAGGTCGCGGGTTCGATCCCCGCAAGGGATGACACAGGCTTTACAAAGCCTGTTTTTACAATATTTTCTTTCTAGCATTTTGATTACATTTAATTATCAAAAAATTAAACAAATTAACTTTTTGAAAAAAAAAGAAAAAAGTTAATGAAAAAAATTTACTTCTTTACCCCAGATGGGACTCGAACCCACAATCCCCGGCTTAGGAGGCCGATGCCTTATCCATTAGGCCACTGGGGCGGTGATTCCTGCTTGTCTAAACCACCACATGAACTTGCGAGATTAAACAAAAGTAAAAAACCATTTGGTCGGGCTTTAAAAACGCTTCTATTTAATTACTTAATAACAAGAACAATCGACACATGTTTCTATCTCAGACTACTTGGAAAATGGTGTATTTTATATCACAATTTGATTAGATTTTCTTTTGCAGCGACGGCGATAGGTTTCTTTCTAGCACATTTTCCTTTAGACGTAATTTGTCTACTTGAGCTGCATTGGCATCTGCTATATCCTCTGCCAGGCGTTCGGCACGTATTTCTTGGATAGATTCTGTAATGAAAATAGGAGAGTACTCGTCAATAATATGTGTATGTGATCTTCTAATAAATATAAAATTGATAGTTTGAAACATGGAAAAGGCTTTTATATAAATATTGTGGACTATTTACACAATATCTTTGCGACTTTCAACACACGCTCCACCACCCCCACTTACTGCTGTATGGTGTATATTTATCCGAGAGTAGACTTTCCAGGTTGTAACCAATGAAACCCACAACACCGGCAAAGGGTAACGTTATGTAGACCGCATTTCTGCGAAGCAAAGCCATAATAACAGGCCACATTATTAATTATTTAATTTTTTTACGAAAGAAACAAAACAATCAAAGGACTTTAGGGTTGTAACAATCGATCAAGTGACCAATATGGTTAGGGATTTCAAGACCGATATTTGTGTTTATAATTTACATAGAACAGATGATATCGATTATGTTGCCACATGGGATAATAATTAATTTATCTAATCTATGCACAGTGGCAATGATGGAAATTAAGAAAATCCTGTTAAAGTTAAATGTTTTCTGAAATATCGCATGTATGTTGTGAATAAAAACTGTATCTTTAAAGAATATTTTGGAAAATAATCTTTGCAAACACATACATGTTGCCCACAAATTTTGTGTTTGTTGAAGTAGACGTTTACAATCAAAAATAATGTTCTTCAGGGAATAACAATCAGATTTGTTAGAACCCATTTTCCTCAAGGGCTCTTTCTATTTGATATTAATTCTGTTTTGACTGACCAATATAATCGTTTTAAATAGTTGGATTGGTATAAATTTGACTTATATGTGCCTAATTGTAGTTGAATACAAGTTTTATTATGATAAAATCTTGATACAATAACCAAAAATATAATTATGTCTGAAGTTTTATGCAGTATTGCAAGCCATTTATTCCTCTTAAATTGTCCTACCAATTTTTTCAACACTAGTTTCGCTGTTCCATTTTAATGAATATTCCAGCTGATTGCGATTCCCATCAACTCTTTGTTTTTGTCTCTTCATTCATAAACTCGACCATTTTGTTTTCTGTTCATTTTTTATCGGCGTTATGTTTTGTCTTCCTTAGGAACGTTTTTAATTTTGGTGTTACCATAGGTCGAAAAGGAAAAAGTTTCTTGTTGGAATCTTGTTTTTAATTCTAAATATATTTGGATAAATCCAGGAAAGCAAGAATAAATCAACAATGAATCCTCTAGAACAAGGAGAACATTTGCTGGCATTAAAAGGTAATTCAAGAATAGCATCCTATTTTGTAATGACTTCTATAAAGTATCATATTTTTCTCCTTTAGTGATGCGTCTGACACGTCCCACTTTGGTCGCACCACAAGTGATTTCATGTGAGCCTCGAGATTTGCCGCAGTTTAGTCTTAAACAAGTCTTGGAGTCCGAGGCATCCATTGCCGGCGCCGAGACCTTGGCTGCTGGTCAATTTATGCTACTGCCACAATCATTCGGCAACATCTATTTGGGCGAAACATTTTCCAGTTACATTTGTGTACACAATTGTACCTCACATCCAGTTGAGGGTGTAACCGTCAAAGCTGACCTGCAGTCGAACAATACTCGCATAAATTTGCCTATGCATGAAAATAAGACCAAACCGGCAACATTGGGGCCCGATGAAACACTAGACGATACAATACGCTACGAAGTTAAAGAAATTGGAACCCACATGTAAGAAAACTCTCCAGATTTTGTATGTTTTCACTTTGTTAACACTATGTTGGTTTCTTTGTAGATTGGTTTGCGAAGTTAACTATACAACTCCAGCTGGCTTGCCTCAGTATTTCCGTAAATTCTTTAAATTTCAAGTTCTCAAGCCTCTGGATGTAAAGACTAAATTCTATAATGCTGAAATGGATGAAATCTATTTGGAGGCACAAATACAAAACATAACAACTGGTCCGTTTTGTTTGGAAAAAGTTGAACTTGATAGTTCGGATCAGTATACTGTGACTTCCTTGAATACTCTGCCCAATGGTGAATCTGTATTTACTTCCAAGAATATGCTACAGCCAAATAATAGTTGCCAATTCTTGTATTGTATAAAGGTATGAAATAACATATATGTGGAAGCCTTAATTTTTAATGCTAACTCTTTACAGCCAAAACCTGAAATTGCCAAGGACATAAAGGCTTTGCGGGCCGCGAATACCGTAGGAAAACTAGACATTGTGTGGCGTTCGAATTTAGGTGAAAAAGGACGTTTGCAAACTAGTCAATTGCAGAGATTAGTATGTTAAAAAATTCTATATATTTGTATGTTTTTATAATAAGCCCTTTTTTCATTTCAGCCCTTTGAGTATAAGGATGTACGACTGGAGGTCATTGATGCCATGAATATTGTTAAGATTGGTGAACCATTTACATTCACTTGTCGTGTCACAAATACCGCTGAAAGACCCATGGATTTGATGGTAAAACTTCCTACACCTTTAGATTACAATTGTCCTTATACCGGGTCAGCAGAATTCAGTTTGGGTGTTATTGATCCCGGTCAATATCGTGAATTCCCAATGACAATATGTCCCTCCAAATTGGGTTTGGTGAAAGTAACGCCATTGATTTTCACCAATACCCTATTGCAAGAGCAGTATACCATTGAAAAGGTGGTGGATGTTTTTGTTGTTGACACCGATTACCACGAAGATGAATCATTCCAAATTAATAAATTTGTACGTTATGATAATGCCCCAAAGATTGAAAATCAATCTATGCAATTGCAAGTGGTGTAGGTTGTTGCTTTAGATTCCAGATTTTATATTATGATAATTTGTAATGTTAAATATATCAATATTTATTTTAATAAACAATAGTTTTTGTTTTCTATTACTTTAGAAACGAACAATTAAATTATAAATTAAAATATTTAAATGAACTTGAAATCATGTGTCAATATGTGCTGTCGTGGAAACGTTGAGATCTTAATATTCATGTATCGATTAGGCACCAAATTAGGATATACGAAGGAGGCGAGGAAGACTTACATTAGTTAAATGATCTTTCTGAAATCAATTCCTACGCTGTTTTACGATTGTTCATCCGTATGCCTATGTTACCATCGAAATTCTTGGACAAATGTAATAACATGTAGACAGTTCCTTTTTTTTGGTGTAAGGACGAACCATATCGACATTAGTGATGATTGGTTCACATATCTGCCATCTATATATTCCAACTGAAAAAAATTATATTTGGTACGATTACATACAAACTAGAGATGCCATTGTCAGATTAAGATGTATGTTCGGATTAACCCAGTCGCTGCGATGGTAGAATCAAGCTTAGAGCGCAGATTAGCACAATCTGCTCGGTAGTACCACCCACGGTCATATAAATTTTCATTGAAAGAATCCGTAGGCCAAATAATAGGTGTTTCTGGTTACCCTAAAATCTGTAACAATTTTTACTGGAAGTCGTCTGTTACACAAAAGATTTACGAAAGAGAGCGATTTGAGATAACAATTTTGACAGTTCATTCACTGAAAGTTTGTAAATTCTTGCTGGTCAAATTTCTTCTTGCAAACACTTGCAACTCTTCTTCTTCTCCTTTCTGCAATGCAAATTTTGAAACATTTTTATTATGAAAAATGCAAGTCCAATTGTTTGGTTTTTCGACACATTTTTAATTTGTGCATTCTTAATTTCTTTTATTTAAGGACAAATTTAGCTCTCACTGAGCCGATAAAACTTATCCCGTATCTATCAAAGCTGGCACAAACTGCTTTTCATCAGTCCCCAATACAAACCATGCATTTGTCAAAGGAATATGAGCTAACAATGCAGAGTGGTGTGGGGTATCATATAGTCGTTCCCTCTCAGCTTTTGCTCCTTTCATTTCAATTTCTTCATATCACACCAATGCATTTTTTCTGCCCTGAAAAATCGCTTAAAATATTAAAAATATTATATTATCATTAATAATCATAGACTTTGTTTTCGTTGATGTAATTTTCTTCAGTTATTTTAGAAACAATATCAATTTAGTTTTTTGTTGGCTTATTTGTTCGGAATACCACAGTATTTTGTTGTTGCAAAATGTTCAGGCTTAATCCCTTTATTGTTGTTTTTATAAAACAACTTTTGTTTTTTAGTGGAGAACGATAGTAATGTTTACCAGGAGGTAAGACAGGGAATACCTAGAGCAACCAAACATTATCATCGTTCTCCACTAATAAACATTGTTTATATAAAAACAATAATAAAGGTATTAAGCCTGACCATTTTGCAACAACAAAATATCCATTTATTAAATACACCCCTGACATATATGCCCCTCCCACGGAGATATGTCGGCATCGATAAACTTTAGCTATTTATTTAGTTTACGAATCCCAAATAGACCTGTTTTGCATTGTAGCCGCATTGCACTTGGATACTTTGGCACGCATTTTGCAGACTGGCAGACAATAACCGTAAAAATTAGAGCAAACAAAATTCATAACAGCGAAAAGCAATTATTTTTGCTGCTGCTGCTGCACCCAAGAACATAATAAAATCATTTCCAATAAAAGGAGAAAAGCCAACATAGACAGGCATTTGAATATAATTGATGCAATAAATTAAAATTCCCAAAGTCGTTTTCAAGTTTCTGGCAACTTTAGTTTTGGTTGGTTAAAAAATTACAACTCTGTCCTGATAAACTTGACAATTCAATTGTAACGGTACATTTTGTGTTTATGTTTTTCTGTGTGAAAGGGCGGTCGTCATATGATGCGTTGTGTTGTGCTATTTTCTTAAAATTAGAAATAATGCTTTATAATTAATAAATTCGTGGGAAAAAAAGCTAAAATTCGTTTCAATGGCGTCGTCTGAATGTTTTCCATACGAGTAATAAACGAAATAATTGAAGATCAATAAAATGTGGACCTCGTTTAAAGTGCGCTTGAAAACTTTGCGAACATTAACCACGTCGGTGCAGTCGTCGGTCGCGAGTGTTTATAATAGAAAAAGTTGTGTTGGTTTACCCTGATAAAAGTTGTGGATATTGATAGGAGATAGGATAGGTACTTGGAGCTGGTAGAGGCGTTTTTGCTACACCGATTTTGTGTAGTTTTCATTAGAATGAGAAAAGGACATGTTTCAAGGTAAGTCGTTGAACTTGTTCCTATATTGCATTAGAAATAGTTTCTATGTTCCTTTTATGATTTGTAGGTAAAATATACATCATTCTGAATGGCCGAAGGACCAATATGCATAACATACTTCACATATATTTTGGTTAGTATTTGACAATTTTATCATAAATGATTTTTTTGGTCTAACTTCCGGGACGTAAGTCTAATAAGAAAATGCGCTATAGGAAAGAATTATGATCATATTTTGATGAAGACTGTCATGGAAATAGACGAAAATTTAAACCGAAAGATTGGATATATCGGATCCATAGTGCTGAATATTCTTGACCATGACGGGCAAGATAGTGGGCAAATATATGTAAAAAGTTGGCACTATATCTAGTGCGTTTGCGATGCCACGAGAGATTTTAGACATAAAATGGCAACAAAATATAGGTATGTTTAGTGAAAAATTAAGAACTTTTATCTAATATTTATCTAAAAGTCAATGCTCCATTTTCAATAAGATTGAAGACCTCTTTTCTATTCATTCTCACCTCTCAAGACTAAATTATCAAAAAAAAAAAAAAAAAAAAAAAAACGTCGGAAGCTACTTTCGATATGCGAGATCATCGCCCAGCAGATTCTTGTAATGTTCCTCATTCAGCCACCATCTAAAGTCACAGAGTTCTCGAAGAAAATTTTTTGATATAATGTCAATAGTTAATTGGTGTTTTGACATAGTTGTTAATCGGAACATCAACGAAATAGCCCAAGTTAATTCATTACGATACAAAATTGTTTTTGTTCTTTAACCAGTCACTCTCCTGAAAAATGAGGGAGTGGAAGTGTTTAAAAAAAATACCGACTAATATCACTTGTACCGATGATAGACCAGAATTTTTGGCAACGAACATCTTCTAGAAATGTGCCTAATGGACGGTGTCATTCCATCTGTAGCACTTCGAAATATTCATATAAGGATGAATATGCCTCTATAATCATAACTAGCGTAAATTTCTTATTCACATAATTGGTTGGATTTTTATACCCTACATCACAAGGTATGTCTTTGTGCCTTTGTTTGTAACAGGCAAAAGCAAACGAGATAGACCCATAGTTCCTTTTGATGCATAGAATCACATTCTGAGTAGATTTATGTCCGTCCGTCCGACTGTCCACGTATTTTTGTAAACAAAGTACAGGTCGCAGTTATTGCCCGATCCAGATGAAATTTTGTGCAAGTCATATGTTTGACCCAAGACCGAACTCTATTGAAATTAGAGGTAATCGGTGAACATTTAGATATAGCTCCCATGCAATATCTTTGTATTCGCCCAAATAATATTGAATTTTGCACATACTACCAAATTAGTTTTGGAAATATGAATGCCAAATTTGATCGACATCGGATCAGAATTAGCTATAGCTCTTATATATGTACTGTTCATCCGATTTGTTATTTTTGTCCTCTGCAGCCGTAATATGCACTCTGTAACAACGAAATATATCAAATACATCTCAGAAATACCTTTGCTAAATGTTATCGAGATCTGTTCAGATTCGAATATAGCTCCCATATATCTTCGTCCGATTTGCCTTTTATTTTGCATCAAACATGTAATATTAGCCCAAATGGGATGGAATTTGGCACTTACGACCAAATTGAGTCCAGAAACATGTATGTCAAATATAGCTATAGCTCCCATATATATTGTTCATTCGATTTGTCATATTTGTTCTTCACAGCCTTATTATTCCCCGATATTCGGGGAAATAAATCAAATACAGCTTAGAAGTACCTTTGCCAATTTTTATCGAGATCGGTTCAGATTTAGATATAGCTCCCATTATATCTTTATCCGATTTGAAGTTAATTGTGCACCGAAATGGTAATACAAGCCCGAATTGAAAAGGCACAAATGCCCCGGTAAATTTAGTCGAAATCGATTCAGAGGAGGTTATTCCTGTCATATATTAGTTCCTTTGGTATTAGTTGGTATTATTTAATTTTCATAAATTCCCAATAAAAACGTTTATTTGTTATGTGAAGTTGTACTAAATATGCAAAGTGGTGTAGGGTATCATAAAGTACTTTTAAATTATGCAAAAAGGTTTAAGGTTTAATATATGTAGCCTTAGCTGCCGATGAATTTTCTATTTTTTCGCGAAAATCAAATCAATATTTAAAAAAATGAAGAGTCTAAAATTTATAAGAAAATTGCGAAAAATTCATATGTTTGAGCAAAACATATTTATCCGATAAAACCAAAATGAGAAGCAATCAGTCCACTCAATTAATAAATTTGGAATTTTTATCTAATTTTTTCAGTATTTGCTTCTTTGTGAAGAAACGGAAAACCATAGGAGTCATTTTAAGTCTTTTTAGAATTTATGTAATTAACCTCTGCTAAAAATTGTCTAACTTATGTTTTTCGCTTATTCCTAAATTACAAATCTAATCCAATCATAAATTTTACGATGAAATAGGAAAAAACCGTAACATAACACAAAAAAATCTACCACATATTTTTGTTAATTGTGTGTCCAAGGAAAGAAGGCGAACAAAATACAATCGTCAACTAAATCCCAAATGTCTAAATGTGGTTTACAAGTCAGGTCTAAATGTGGTTCACATCACATCCTGTACCGTAGTTGGATGTCAAGTTATTTTTTAATGTGCCCACCTTATATCGCATCACATCGCATACAGACGGAAAATGAGTGCATTAACGTCTTGATTGAA